GCGGCCTGGCTCACTGCTGAGGTTCCGCAAGGCAAAGCAGGCCCTGGCGGCCGGTGCCCACCTCCCGCCCCCTGCGGGGCTCCCAGGGCCATGGCAGGAAGCTGGCACAAAACAGCCGCAGGCGTCCTCCCCAGCTTCCTGGCAGCCCTGGTGGACAGAGGGGGCACTGGGCCCCAACTTTGTAGACAGAGACTGGGGCTCAGGGCAGGCAACTCCTGGGGCCCCCCTCAAACTTATCACCCCATCAGGGCCAGCTGGTCCCCCCACGCCATTCTGGAGAACGGGCCCTTGGCTGTTGGAAGTCACAACTGCGTCCTGTGGGGGAACCTGCCCTCCGTGGGGGGTCCAGGGGCTCTGGGCGCAGAGGCTGCTGCATCCCCACCACCCACCCATTGTGGGGGGCCCTTCTCTGGGCCCTACACAAGCCCTGTGGGCAGGGCCCCACTTTGGAAGTCCAGCCAAAGCGGCGGGGTGCCGGCACAGAGTGCAGGCGTCAGCGTCCCTGGGGGACCGGCCTGGCCATCACGGACCTCGGGCTCAGGCAGCGCCCCTGCCCAGCGAGGGGTCAGGGAGGGAGCGGAGAGGCCCAGCCTGCGGGGCGGGCGGCCCGACTCCCAGCTCGCTTCTCTGTCCAGGCCTCAGAGGGACTGTGTGAGTCAGAGTGCTGCTGCCTGCACCCCAAAAGATAACCACGGGCCCCTTCCTCAGGCGGGAACGCCCTGGGGTGCTCACAGGGCGCTGTGGCAGCCCTCCCCTCCACCCCGCCCTGGCCCCCCGTGAGCCGCAGGAACAAGCTTCAAAGGCCTCGCTCGTCTCTGGCCAGCTGTGGCCCGGCGAGGCCCGGGCAGCCGTGGGCTCTGGCTCATGCGCCTTCCTCACCGGGCCCTCTCCTGCCGCTTCGGGCCAGCCTGGGGCTCTGGGGAGTGGCCAGGTACCCGGGAGGTAGAGGGCCCATGTGCATGGCCTGGGCAGCGGCCCAGGGGAAGGGCCACTCAGGCCAGGCGCCCCGGGCTGTCAGCAAGGCCACTCCCACACCGTGCCCCGTCCCGCTGGAGTGGCCTCGCTCGCAGATACAGGTTCTGAGGGGCCGCAACCCCTGCGTCTCGCCGGTCCCGGCCAGCCGGCACTCGCCACGGGCAGCTGGGCTCACCGGCCTGACATCAGCCCACAGTTAACCCCGACAGCGCCCGCGTGACGCTCCCCAGCCCCTGCAGCCCAGAGCGCGCCCCCTCCCCAGGAAGCTTTCCTGGGCTCCTCACAGGCTCATCTCTGACCGGGAAAGGCCAGGTGGGAGGGACCAGGCCGGTGGAGGGGCCCTCATCAGCCCCGGGGCCCCTCCCCCACACCTCACTCCCCTGCTGAGCTGAGGACTTTCAGACCTCCAGGGGGCTCTGGCCAGCTGGACCCTGGGCAGACCCACCTGCGGGCTGTGTCCGGTGGGCAGGTGGGGAGGGTCCCGCCACCTTGCTGGCTTCACTGCCTTTACTGTAGGTGGGCCAGCCAAGGCCAGGCAGCCACACTCCAGCCCGGAAGAGTCCAAGTGTGGGCCTTTAACTGGCCCTGGGGGGGTGGAGTGGTGGACGCATGAAGGGCGTGAGGACCACGAAGGCGAAGCCAAGGCCACCACTGGCCAGGTCAGAAACCCAGGTGCTGCCCCTCAGGGAGGGCAGGATGGGACTACAAGTCCTCGACAGATGCCTGCCTGGTGCTTAGAGAGAAGCTGGCGGCCCAGGGCCCGCTGGACACCATGTCCTGAGGCCCACTGGGCTCAGGGTCTGAGGGTTGGAGAGCACTCAGGGGTGCTGCTCTGTGGGGGTCTCGGGGGACTTCCTGGAGGCGGCGGCTTCCGAGCCATCTGGCGGCAGGGCCGTCCGGACCGCTGGGCTGGGGTGCGGGCGGCCCGGAGCACCGGCACCTTCCCTCTGGCTCTCCGAGTCCCCGCAGCCGGCAGGACAGCTGGGCAGGGTGTACGCAATTGCTGACCAGCTCCGGGGACCGTAAGCCGTCTTAAGGCTTCATAAATGGCTTTGCTCCCCGCCCCCGCCCCTGTGTTTACAGGGGCAGCTACGAGGTGGGGCCCTCTGTGAACCCCAACCGAGACTGGAGGGGTCCGGGCGGGGCTGTCCCGCAGCACAGACTCCCAAGGGGGTGGCCCTGGGCGCAGTGGCGGGCCCCCCTGCCTCCCCAGCTGCACCGCCGTGCAGGCCTCACGCCCGCCCTGGGCTGCTCCCCGCCCCTCTGGCTCCGTGCTCCCCGCTCTGCTCCTGCGCCCCGGCCCACCCGCACAGCGCCCTGGTCAGGTGTCTCCTTCACCTGAGCCGCCCAGAGCTCCTCGGGGAGCCGAGGCCGAGCCAAGCCTGACCGCAGCCCGGCCGGACGCCGGCTCCTCTCTGCAGCGACTTCCGAACCAACCGGCCGCCGGCCGGCTCTGGCAGCCACGCGGATGCCGGCCGCAGCGTCCCACCGAGCCTGGGTGTTCCTGGCCCGGCAGCCGTGGCCGCCCTCTCCCAGAAGGGGGGACCGGGTGGGGGGCGCTGGCAGGGGCGGGCTCAGCCCAGGCCTGCTGCCGCGGCCGGCTGGGGTCTCCGCGGGGCTGCTGGGGGGGGCAGCTGGGCTTCCTCTGTCTGGCTCGGCTACCTGGGAGCCCGGGCCCGGCGTCCGCGAGGGGTTCCTGTCTAGACCTCGTCCACATTTGTTCTTAATTTCACGCTCTGCGGGCTCCCAGATTCCGGCCCGGGGAATAAATAGCCGGGAACTGCTCAGCAGCGGGCGGGAGCGGGGTGCTGGCCGAGCCGCCTAGGGCAGCGTTGTGGGGCCTGGGGCCTCGAGGCAGCTCCTGCACCCCGGCCCCCTCTGCAGCTGGCCCACTCGGCCCTGGGGGCACTGGGCTCCTTAGACCAAGGCTGCCGGTGCGGGGTGCCTGTGAGACAGGGCTGCGCCCACTTAGTCTTCGAGGTCAGAGAGTGCCTGCCCGCCGCAGGCCTCCGGGCTGGGGAGGGCCTTCGGGGGAGGCTGGGTGCCCTGGGCCGGCCGCTTTATGGCCTGGATTCCTTGAGCGTCGCCCAGAAAGAGCACAGGGCCCAGGCCAGATTCACAGTCCTCCAGGAGGTCTCCCCCGCCCTGCTGAGGAGCCCCCTTGGGCTCAGGGTCTGGCCCTGTTGCGCAGGCGAGTGGGCATGGCGTGCGGGAGGAGGAGCTGGATTTCCGAGCTGGACCCGGGCAGAGCTGGGCGGCGGGGGCTGGGGTCACCTCCCCATGGGAAGGAAGAGCCCAAGCTGGGCCCCAGACGCCGTCTCCCAGGCGGCCTGGCTTTCCTGGACACACCCGTTCACCAGGCGGCTCTTGGCTGGTTGAGTGATCAGCCCCACCCCTGCCTGGCGGCCCCCCCTTCCCGCCCTTGGGGTTGAGGAGGGCGCCCCCTGGAGGTCTTGGATGGGAAGTCCGGAGCCGGAGTCATGGCCAGGAAGCTGGAGGGACAAGGGCTTGTGCCCTGGGTGGCCGGTGGTGGCCATCCTTCCCCCTCCTGCATGGACTCCTGCAGGGAGTCACTGTCCCAGGCTCAGGGGCCTCCCGGGGGGCAGGGGGTGGTCTCCCCAGGCCTGTGTGAAGCCCCCAGCTCTGCCTGTCCCTTCGGCCAGGTGGCGAGCTAGGAGGACAGGTCCAGCCACGCCAGAGGCAGGTGGCCCGGGAGCCTGTTCCAGACGAACAGCCTGAGCTCTGGCCTCCAGCAACAGTGGACACCCAGGGTGGCCAGCGAGACTGGGCGAGGGGCCAGACTTGGGGGGAGCAGGCTGGGTGCAGCTGGCACCCCCTCGCCATGCCTGCCAGAGCAGGGCTCTCGCCTGGGGCGCCTGACCCTCGGCCGCTGCAGCGAGGGCCAGGGCGGCTTGCCTGGGTGCCGAGGTGGTGGGGCAGGAAGCAGGTGAGGGCCCCGCAGCCCCACAACACACCTGCGAAGAGGCTCACGGAGATGCGCCGGAGCCAGCGGCCCTGGCCGCTGGGCAGCAGAGACCTCGCGCTCCAGCAGAGATGCCCAGGCTCCTGCCCTCCTGCCTGGCTGCCCCACAGTGGTGACCGGGTGTGCGGGCCGCACCGGAGGGGAAGCGGATACTGTCCTCCCTAGGAGAGGCCGCTGTCCCAGCCCCAGGCAGGGGCGTGAGCCGCAGCAGCCTTGGGCCGGCCTTTCCCTCCCCTGCTGCCCAGCTGGCCCGAGGTGGGCTAGTGGGCGTTCCTAGCCCGGCCTCCTCCGCCCACCTCCCTAAGCCGGAAGGCAAGTCCTGGCGCCCGGCTCTGCCGTCCTCCCGCCACCAGGGGTCAGCATAGCACCAGGACACAGTAGGGGGCTCCAGCATGTGCTGGACTGGGGGTCGCTTTGACCCCCCTCGGGCTGAGCAGGCCCCAGCACCCGAGGCGAGCGAGGGGTCTTGACCTGTGGCCCCCCCACCTGCTCCCCAGGGCTCCCAGGCGGGGGCGGGGGCTGCAGCTGGACAGCCTGGGGTCCTGCCGCTGGGATGCCCCGTCCACTTCTTGGCCAGCGTGTGCGGAAGTGGGGGGGGCGGGGCGCCAGTCCGGGCCGGGAGCCGGCTGCGCGGTGGTCAGCACTGGCCTTTCTCTCCCTTAAAAGTAACAAGTGCAAGATCCTCTCTGCTGCATGATTTGAAAACAAACCTGTTTGGGGGCGTCCTTTCCCCGGAACCCAGCACGGCTCCCGGTGCCCGCTCTGAGGGGTTCCTGGGGCCCCGCCCGCCCGGGGAGCTTCCCCGCGTCAAGGTGGGCTGAGCCTGGCCACAGCAGAGCACCCAACCCCGACGCAGGGTGGGCGCTGGGCACAGGAGGAGACGGGCCTGCGGGGTCTGGGCCAGGCAGACCCTGCCCGCCCCGGGCTCAGCGCCCCGAGTTTGACGAAAGCTCAGTAAGACCTTGGGCCCCGCCGGGCCGAAAGGCACACGGGTTTAGGCGGGTTCGGGGGTTCAGGCCCCAAGGTCCCCCCGGCCATGCGGGCGCACTCCCGGCCTGCGGCCACACGGCTGTCCCGAGCGCAGGATGGCGGCCTTCGGGGCGAGGGGAGATGCAGGAGCCGGGCAGCTGGGCGTCCACGGAGCGCTGGCTGCTGACCCGGCCGAGGGACGCCAGGCCCTTCTGGTGCTGAGGACGCAGTGCGCTGGGCCCGGGCCAGGTCTCCCAGTCCACCCGAGAGGGAGGGAGACGGGGGGGCCCCGGAGGCCAGAGAGGCCCGCAGCGGGGAACCCCGCCCCGTCTGTGAGGCCCCGGGGCCGAGGTCCGGCGGCGTGGGTGGGAATGGTCACGGCCGGGTCAGCGGGGCCCTGGGAGAGCCGCGGCCCCGGCCGGCCCCTGGCCGCCTGCTGACAGGCTCCGGATTTGCTTCTGCTCCTGGTCCGGTGGGACCCTGAGCGCCTCGGCCGGGGCCGTTTCCTGTCTGCGCGGCGTGGGGCGGCCGGGCCCTCGGCGTCGCTGCCCTCAAGGCCACGCTCCCTCCCGGCGGAGTGGCAAGCCCCGTTCCCAGAGGCACCGAGGCTCACGGACACGCTAACGGGCGTCGGGCAGGATGGGGAGGGAGACGGCTGCGCCCGGGCCGTGCCGGGGCCCCAGCAGGCGGGGGGAGGCGGAATGTCCACTCGGCTCGCCACTGGCCGCGGGCTGGGCCCCTCCCTCGGACGCCCTCTAGGCCCGCTGTCCCGGCCTTTGGAGCGTGAGGACCAGCCCCTCCCAGGGCTGCGCCTGCGGAGACTGGGTGTCCACCAGGCCCTGGGGGGTGTCTGGGCCGCTGCCACACCCTCGGGGCGGAGGCCAGCCGACCTCCCGGCCCGGGCCGCCTTCCCTTTTCCAGCTCGGCCACATCCATCTCCCACGCTCACCGGGGCTGGGCGCAGGGCCCAGGCTGAGCTGACCGCGGCCAGCACGCCCGGGCCCAGCGGGCACAGCTCCTGCTCGCCTCCCGTCTCACTGCCCATCCCGAGGGCCTCTTCCGCCCCCACCCACCTGTCCAGGCCCCCTCGCACACACCACTGTCCTCCTCGGGCAGGAGCAGCCTCGGGCCGCTCAAGACAGCCCAGTGACCCGTGGCTGTCAGACGGCGCGTACGGACCCCGCCCACAGCCCTCCTGCCTCGGGCCTGGCGCGGAGGCTCTGGCCGGCGCTGCGCTGGGCGGGCGCCAGGACGCCTGAGGCCGCAGGGCCCTGGCACAGGCCGGGGAGGCACATCTCTGGGGCGTGTGGCTCGCACCTCATTCCACGCACGTCTGGCCCGGGGGGCTCCTCTGGCCGCTGCAGCAGCCACGCCGCCTTGGGCCTGCACCCCACTCAGCGTGGCGCCGGCCTCAGCCTGTCACAGGGCTAGTGACCTCTCGCCTGTCGTCCCCCTGGACCCGAGGCGGAGGGCAGGCCCGGCTGCTGGCCCTCGCTGTGCTCTGGGGCCTGGGCGGCTGACCGTGGCCTGTGGCTCTCTGTGGCGTGGTCAGTGAACGAGCCCCGCGAGCACGCTGACCTCGGAAGTGACCATGTCAGTGCTGCTTTCCCACGCGCCTCGGAGGGAAGGACGGAGC